ATGGCTGTACGTTGCAATTCCAAAAGAATTCTCAATGCAAACTGAGGTCGTACTGCGCTCAGTTTATACCAATAAATCTTTAGACATCAAGATTTAATTCTCTGTTTCAAAACAACAACCTATCATGCCAATATGCCGCACCGGGATCCCACCAGTACCGGTATTTTAAATTTGTGTTCAGCAGCGACACAATAGATGCGGAAGATGTTCAAATTAGGATAGGGTATGATAGGATTTACATATTTATCCCGGGGGAGAGGAAAGCCGATAAGACGACTTATCCATATGGCGAACCACGGCCTCTCGTCCGGTACCATGGACTTGGTGGTGGAGGAAGCCGTGACCGACCAGCGGTTACGTGAACCACCCAACGACGGCGAGGAGTCCAGCAATCCTCTCGCACATAACCATCCCTGCATGGGATTCGAACCGCTTAGCCCGTTGAGCCACACCGTCGCGCCAATTAAAACTTGCCCTATCTAGCTGAATTTTTATTAGTTTAAAAAAGCAACACTTACTAGAGATGAAAAAGAAAACAACTTCCGTATCTCCTTCGATCACGGTGATTCACGATTTCTCGAGTAGCACGGCGAAGCAACTGAGCAAGACCGGTTAGCTCACTTCCAGACCTCCTAAATAGAAGGTCTGGAATCCTAGATAGGAGGTCTGATATTCTGGACCGATAGCATGGATTTGAATCGCAGGCGAACCACTGAAGCGTGAATATGTGGTCTGCTAGACCGGTTCCAGCGGGCATGTAATCAGGCCTGCCTGATTTTTCTTTGAAAAGCAATAAAACATTTATAATGAATACAACATATTAAAATATTCAACCATATATATTTTAGTTATTAGTTTAGTTTTATGTTATGTTCAACACAATTCTGTTAATTTTTATGCGGCGAACTTAGCAATTCGCCCGCCATACTGTCGGAACAGCTGCCATAGCACAGAGGTTTCAAACTACAGCAGGCGGGCCAAATACGGCCCGTAGGGAAAAAATGTGCGACCCGCCAATTTGAAAATGATGTGCCGCGAAATGAGTTTTCGGCCTAGTTAACTAGGTAAGGACGAGCAAGCACGACGAAAATAAATATCTGAATCGCCGTAAAGGCCACACAAATTCTGAGAGCCACTGTCCAATTAGCAAATTATCTTGCAAAATACGCGATGTCCTAAAAACGCGTTTGTTACCGAATTCGTTTGAAGTCGGTTTGACGATAAATTTGAATAGCAGTTTTGTTTAAAAATTTATGCGTTTTAACTCACTATTTCTGCAAGGACCACAATAACACAACTTATACAAGAATATTTTAAATAAAGCTGCCTAACGTATTTGTTTTTATTGCTCATCTAATAATAACAGTGGTACGTCGGGCGTCGCTGCTCGATAACCAGCTTTGGTTGCCTGCCATCCAGGGCTGGGGAGCTGGAGTCGGAGCCTGGAGCCGTTAAATTTTGTCGGAGCCAAGCTTTTCATAACAGCTGGAGCCGGAGCTGGAGCTACCAAAAATTTAGTGGCTCCAGGCTCCAGCTTCTAAATATCTCATTTTTTGTTTTTCAAATTTATAATTTTTTTCTGATAGCGTTACAAATGATAAAATCTTTTCTTTTCAGCTTATAATTCATTTTAAAAATCTTAGTTCCTAATATTTTTTGAAAAGTTTTCAGTTATTCTGTATGTTTGAAAGTTTAGTATCAAAATTTGAAGCGGTTCGCTTTTATCAAAATTTTGATTCTCATTTCCACTTAGCTGCAATTTTTCATGATTGCGGTCAAGCTCAAAAACCCTAATGGCCAGGGATTTTCGAAGAAGTGATTTTGGAATTTCCATGTAACATATTATGATTTTTTCGTGGCGTTGAATATCCAATCTATTTCAAATGTCTTCAATTCTGTTCAACGTATCTCGAGATTGAGTCGTTTTACGACAAAAGAAAGGTTTAACTACTCCAAAATGCACCGTAGCAGTCACCTATCATAAAAATGTATGGCAAAGTGCCCCATTATATCTTGTTTTGATCCATAACATAGCATGTTCTGGAGAAAAGTCTCATCAATTTCCGTTGTTATTTTTTGAATATATAAAAAGTATATCGCGAGTAAGATTGATTGCGTTTAGATTTATTTTAGTGACTGTATAATTTTCAAAGTCAACCGGTAAATAATATGTCGTAGGCAAAAAAAATAATGAGATTAACAAGGCATTTTTTTAGCTGTTGGGAGTCTCCTAGAACAAAGTTTATAGTGTTTGTCGTTTCATTTTAGTATCTTATATTAACTCTCCAATGTGGAAATTCGGCTTGCGAATTGACTTCTCTATTTATCTTTAACATCTCATCGCTGATAATTATGAAAACGCCTCGATTCTAGAACCAACTTTTGGCCTGATTTGGGAGAGGGGGACGGCATCTAATTGGGTGACGATGGTAATTTCCATTATTTTGGGTCTGCTTATTCAATTTGTACCATAAAATACCTCCCCGTCAGGCCAGTTTAAATTATCATGAGTTGAAGGGCTATTGCCGTTACTATCACATGTGCGTTGCATTTCGTGAAAAGCGTCAATTGTTTTCGTCGCCATAAACATTAGGCCATAACATCTTTTATTTCAGTGTTTATTTTCCCCTTAATCACAATTTCTCAAGACATATGTTTTGTGTCACGCACCATATTTGTGAGAAAACGAGTTATTACATAATCATCGGTGATGAAATTCTAAGATAAATAAAGAAGTCAATACGCAAACCAAATTTTCCCGATTAAAAAGCGACATTATAAAATACTAAAAATAAAACACCACAAGTTTTGCTTTAGAATGACCCACGACAGATTTTATTTGGCCGCATGATTGTCAGTTATGTTGAACACAATTAAATTAAAAAGACAGTTATTATGGGTTAAATATTATGTGGTAGAAAAAGTCATTATGAGCTATTTTACCGAATGCGCAAACGCTGCGACCATTCCAGAAGCCGATTTTCCTTCCCGTCTTATTGTGGGGTTATATGTAAAACCCTTATATGCCGGGTAGACCGATTCGCATATAAAAATACAGCATATAATAACTCTCAGTGGATTCACAAGTTACATGCAGGAACAAAAAGGAATTATCATGACACCGACTTGAAGGGTGTTTACAGCCTAAATAACATGCCACACTTAGAAAACAATTAGCAAAATGCGTTATTGGGCTGCACTACTGATAATGGTTATAGAGCCGGAGCTCATGAATCATGTGAGGGAGATATAATCATATTATATGGAGATGTTTCATGCGGTCACTGGTGATTTTATGTTACCATCTAAATTCATAAAACTGAAAAAATTACCCATTCCTATACCCATAAAAGGGTTGTCTGAGTGGACAAGTTCAAGAAAATTGAATTGGCTACTGGGCCGGAAGCAGTGATATCCCCCCCCCCCCCTAAAATAAATAAAACACTCCCCCCTCCCTAATTTCAGTTGTGACACCATACTTCAACTCATAACACAAGTACAATTGTGTTTGAATATTCAGAAATCGGCCATATGCCAGTGCATTGAATTAGTCAAATACATAACACATTTTATAAGCTACAACGGTTTTACCACTAATAGCAAAATATATACCACCCCCTAAATTTGGGAGCACCCCCTTAAAATAAAAAGCTGGGGGAAATACTGCCGAAGGCTTAGTGTATTTACAAAAAGACTAGCATAAAGACTAATGTATAACAAACAGCAAGGTATGAGATCAAGTGGCTCAATGATTAATGGGACTGATATATCCTACTGCATAACCTATGGGCAGTGGGTATATTCACCTGGCTAACACCGACAGTCGTAATAGAACTAAAATAAGAAAAATCGGAATAAAATTGTGGACGAACCCTGACCTGGTGCAAATACTACGGTACCCAACAAACAGCAAGGATGGGATCAGGTGGGACAATGATTAATGGGAATGATGTAATCTACTGCATGCGCCCTAAAGCTACATTCTGAACAATTGTCCTATTATACGACACATATGAATGCTAGCATTGCTTGAAAGAAATTATTTTGTGATTGGTTATAAAAGTGAACTTTCATCATAACAGTAATTCAAGAACGATGTGTTAAATACAGATCAGAGCAAATTGATAATAATATATTGCTAAGCAGTATTGTCACATGAAGTTAGCGCTGTACAGCCAAGTCTTAAGTCACAGAATATTTCATAAACGACATTCAAATATCAGCACAATTCTGCAATGGTCAATCGTAGGATTTTTTTAGTTCTAGTTTCGATTAAAGTAAAGTACTATCAGAGTCCTCAGTTCAGTTATAGTATATTTCATAAACAACATTGAACTTATTATCGTAACCTAACAAGTCCATGCACCTGAAACAAATAACTGGCTACGTACTGGTAACCACAAACTCGATATGGACTGGTAACTGGACAAAAGGCAGTGGTCTTATCGACTTTTCTCTTCCCGGAACGAAGATGTAAATCCTACTCTAAATCTTAACATTAAATAATACCTGTGTCGGACACAAGCATCTGAGTCAAAAGTCACAAATCAGAGGCAACTTTCAAGTTCGAAGACTAGTACTGTACACAAGATTCACCAAGTCAAGTCGGTACTGTTGGTAATAATAAGTAAAAGTAGATTCATAAACAGCATTGTAATGAAGTGTTGGGCACAAGTCCGCGTCATGCATCATCAGTTTCAGAGTCACAGGAAATTTTTAGTTTGAATGTAGTCGAGCGAGTAGTGTACTTTTTAGCCATGAGTCGTTTGAAATAACAAGTGAAAAAGGTTTCATCAACAACATTAAAATGGATAAATATGAGTCAATGAAGATATGCTCAACTCCCTGTCATTATGGGACCGTTTGTTACAGCTTCCTCCACAAGTTATAAAATTCAAATGGCAGACCCAGCGGGTCCCAAACTTTTTGATCATGCGGCGCGAAATTATCAGGGAAAAATCTCGACTTACACAAAAAATGCTGCTTTCATATAAAACTCATTTTTGTTATCGTTAATGTGTATTTTATGCCTTTTGAAAATCGTAAACACGTAGGCCTGAGAAATAAAGGCAAAATGTCAACCCTTCTCCTCGGTTCTGCCTTTGTTTTTTGAAATGCTAAAACAATCACTCATGTTCGTTAAACTCGGTTCAATAGATGAATAAACTGCAGCTCACGAAATTGCAGCAAGTAATGGCTGTCTCTATTGTTACACAACTCTACATAACAGAAAGTAAACAACATAAAAAAGTAAAATGAATCTAAGAATTCATGTACACAGCATTCAAAATATGTTTTAACACAATTATGTTTAACACAATTCTGTTAATTTTCACAACACACTCGGCAAACCGTGGCGCACCTTCTAGGAACCGCTGGGTTAACCTATGAAATTTAACACTAATCTCTTATTTTGTTATCGGCACTTTGGGATCGGTACCAACCTGTTCTGTGAATGCCATGATGATCAACAAACTCGTTTCTCAGAGCTGAAATTTTTTTCGAAATTAGAAAATCTGTTTTTAGTATATTCAATACCAAGAAAAACCACCTGGAGTTTTGAATTCCACTGGGCACCTTTATCAGTATTTTTGAAAACTGTGTCATTGTTTTATATTCGCATAAAAACTTATAAAAAACATGATTCAATTTAATAAACGTAAAACACGCAACCTTGCTTTGAGCAAACTTATATTAAAACATTTATGATCGCTTTTTAAAAAACCCGGCAGGTTGTTTGCATTCGGTAAAAGTTATAGTTGAAGATTTTGTTGTTATATCAGTTATTACAATCTCATTTTCTGTCCAGTTTGGGTCAGATTTTGTAGTGAGAACTTCGTTATTGTCATTCAATAAATTATCTTTCCATTTCCTTATTTTTGCAGGAATTCGACCCCTACCACGACCTCTGACACTTGACCCAAACATAGTTCGCATTCCAGGTTTTCGTATGAAATTTCTCCTCCCCAAAACTCCTGTTGGGTTTAAAGTACGTCTTGTAAATCCGAGTGAACCAGATGCAATATTGATTCCACGACCGCGACCTCGTATACGTCTTATTTTCTTAAATTTTGAAACTGTAGAAATTTCAGCGAAATCATCTAGACGATATTTATTTTTACTCTGTGATAGGCGACCAGATTTCCTTTTTGTGATAGCATTAGAAACAGTCTCCGTACGGACAGTGAAACCAGTTGATTTTGATTCATTTTTAGCTTCATTTTGAGCTAAATCAGTTTCTGTTAAGTCCAGTTCATTATTTGAACCCACATCTTCAATATTTTCCTCAGTCTGGACGAGATTCGAACCCTTGTCGATGTCATCTTGTGCATGATCACTTTCCATGTTAATGTCTTCTTGAACTTTATCTGTGTCTGATTTTGATACATCCTGTGTTAACAATCGCTTCGGTTTCGCCCCTCGCTTTTTCGGACCTGTCTCCCCCTCTTCTTCCTGCTTTTTGAAGATTTGCAACAGTCTGGTATCCAGAATATTCTCTCTCGGCTCCCATGTGTTAAATTTAGTCGGCCATCCCTTCCATTTTACCAAGTATTCGACACGTCCTTTTTTAATCCTTTTTCGCATCAACATTTCTGCAGCAAATACCCCCTCACCGACATCACTGAGTTCCATGTTTGAAAACTGCAACTCTTCAAACTGTTCAATTTATACCATTAAAATGAGGCTTATTAATTGATGGAGAACCGGGAACTTTCAGTCTTATTAAAAATACTATTTAACCTAATATCTGCAAACAATCATAAATATTCCGATTAACATAAACAATAATAAGAATAAAAACGAGAATAAAAAATTATTGATCATAAAAAAACCACACACCATCAAATATTACCATATGGTATTTTATACAATCTTTATTCAAGCCTTTGCTTTGAGCAACGCCCTGTACTGGGATGTATCTACTGATATCTGTAATGCTAAGTAGGGAACTACTATATTTTGGAATGACCGAACGCTTTCTGTTCTGGCATAACCCACCGAATTTATTGGTACTTCAGATGTATTCGAACCAAGATGGCGGACACCGGAACATAGTATGTGCATCAGGTTAGTGTTGGCTATAATTCCAGGTACAAATACTACGGGAGTCACTCGGCTAGTCCCTTAACTCGTGATAGAACTAAAATAAGGAAAATTGCAATAAAATTACAGCCTAACCCTAACCTAGTACACATACTACGTTCCGGTGTCCGCCATCTTGGTTCACATACCATGGGAGTACCCATTCATTATGAACTGGGCTAAGGAACCAGGGTCCGAGTTGGAATAAGTTTTCAGTCCATTACATATTATGGAAAGTAATCAACGAATACCTAGCAATAGCGTAGGCATATAGCCGAATTTTTAGTGCAATCAGAGGAATGCAATGCAATTTGCGTTTTAAACTCTGCCAATCCTAGCCAAATCTTCAATCAGTATTTAGTCAAGGTTAGAGCATATTCAATAAAAGCAGCAATAAAGTAACAAACGTATCAGTAACATCAGGAATAAATTGATAATAAGTCATTTTACAAGTCAAAAAGGAATAAAAATTATTTCAATTATTCCATAACTAGACAAGAAAACCAAGGTTAGATATAAAAACATCTTATAATTTTAAATTCATTCTGATTTACATTCAGCGAATATAGTAAGGACATTATAGGGAATTTATGCAATTTGAGAAAAGGTTCTACTTCAAGATTCAGAATTTTTTTTTTCCTGTTAAATTTTTTTTTTAGCGATATTGGGATATTTCATACCATCAATGAATATTCAATCCATTTCATTTACCCAGACCATATCAAAATAGATACAGAACTTAGAAATTAATTTTTCAAAAATTTATAATGAAAACAATATAACTGTCAAATTTTCAGAATGATAATTGGTATAATTCATAACTTTGATTTTGAAAAAGAAATCTATTTCTATTATAAGAAACAAATGAATGACAAATTTAATTACAAAATTTTAAATATGACATTTCATTGCAAGGAACAAAAATTTTTCAAATTATTTGCGCATTTTCAATAAAAATAATATATCTGGTAATTTTTAAAGTAAGATTCGGTACAATTCATAACTTCAAATAAAAAAAACATTTTTAAGTATCCAAGACCCTAGTTCTCAAATACAAAACAAGATCTCAGAGATGACATTTCATTGCAAAAAGCAAAAATTTTCTGAAATTATTAGAGCATTTTTGATGAAAATAATATATCTCTCGAATTTTGAGAATTAGATTTGGTATAATCCACAATATTAATTGAAAATTTGCAAAATTTGGGTTTGGAATCTAGAACTACTTGAAAATGGCATTCACATATATCGAGAATAAAGACAAAATTAGGCGCTCCAGAAGTATGTGTACCATGGAGGTAACTAATTTTGTTCTCCTATTTTACATCAAGTTGTGTAAAGGGACTAAAACCTATGGTCAGGGGGTATACTTGGCTAAAACAGAAAGTCCCCAACATGTAATAGAACCACCGGTAAAATGAGGAAAATCAGAATAAAATTGTGGCCTAACTCTAACTTGATGCACATACTACGAGAGTACCCAGAATAACAAAGATAAAACTTCATCGCGAAAAATGAAATTACCAGAGTGTCCATGAGTTCATTTCATAAATATTCAGTATAAAAATACACAAACAAAAAAGTTCATTTTCAAATGTGCGTAATTAATCTCTTAAAATGGTGAGGCAGCACTGGCAGAGACTCAAAAAATTCATTAGTAAAATAACAATCAGCCAATCTAATAAAAAAAACTCAGTGGCAACTATCAGACTCACAAAGTGACTCCCATCACCTAAATGGAATGAATCGAGATAATAATATTCTTCCGAAAAAGTAGTTTTTCAACAGGGTTCCAAATTCTAGAGTTTCGCCAGTGCAGTCCACAGATTCTCCAATTTCCATTCAAATCAGGGTTTCTATATTATTATATGTATATTGTTATAATAAAGAGTGTCCATTAAGTCTCAAAATTATTTAAAACTGCAAAGGGAATTTATTGATACCATATATATTGTTTTGGCCCTCACAGATGTATTAAATGAATTAAAAATCTGTAAACAAGTACTGATTAAAAAACAACAAACCTGGTCAAGATATATTGAGAATTGAATTTATAACAAAATTGAAATTGTAAAGAGATATTATGGACTCTCTGTATAATGAAATATCTATTAGATTTGCCACTATTATTGAACTGTTCTGCCAGAGCATTAGATTTGATTTCATATATATTTTTAGTTTATACAATATAAACAACTAAAATATAACCTCGAGTGTCTGGGAGGTTACATTCATGCACCACCGAAGATTGTGAATCGAATACCATTATAAACAAACATAGCTTTACAAGTGAAAATGATTATGAAATAACAAATAAAAACAGAGAAATAGTGAAAAAATATATACAAGAAAGATCATTGCGGAATTATTAAATGAGGAAAAAATAGTTCTTTAAAATATTTAAAACACAAACTAAGCAGATTAAAGTTGAAAAAGGAACAGTTCTTATATTGTATTTTTGATTGCTTATAGAAATGGTCCACCCCTTCATCTATTTGCGAAAAATATCACTTATATAGGCCCCCAGAAGAACTATTGATGCTCCTCAAAATGTATAAGGATAGTTGAATAGAGTAAGGCTGTATTAAGACACATGGGACGCATTAGGTCTCAATAACCAAAATTCACTTTCCACGGCTCCCCTTCACCCTGAAATGCTTTTTCATGATCTATTGTAATTTGTTCATCTTGTGTGCTTTTAGTTTGGTGAACAAAAATAAACTCCTGATTACACAAGGGCATAGGTATGCAGAAGCCTGTGCGAGTTACATATAGAAAAGTCGAAAACCACTTATCTATTAGAAAATATCAGGGGGGTTTCAAGAAACTATTGATGTTTCTAAAAATGTATACAGATGGTTGAATATAGTTGGTTGAATTAAGACACAAAGGCATATGCAAGAGTTAGGCATGTGTGAATTTCTTATGGGAGAGGTCAAACCCCTCTCCCTATATGCGAGAATGTAACTGATAGAGGGGCACAAGATGCTCCCAGACATCAATGTTAAAGCTAATGTTGAATTATAGACGCAGCAGGGATGGCCATAACCGAATACTTGATTATTTCGAATACATTCTAACATCCCCCACATAAATTAAATTCACAGTTTTAAAATCCAGGGGCGCATGCATTAAATAATTGTAAAATGTTTTCATGCGGCGGCTCTAGAATGTGTGTGTAATATTCTGTATTCATGTGCGCGATATTTGGTATTCTTATAAACACGAAAAGCGATATTTGAATGTTGAATTAAACATCCCTGGGCATAAGCATAAAAGAATAGAATGTGCGAATTGGTCATAAAAAAAGATCCAAGGCCTCTCATCTTTATGCGAATAAAAAAGGTTTAGAACCGCTCATTTATAGAAATAATACTTAGAGGGATCCCGAGGAGCTATGTAGATTCAGTGTTTGAATATAGATATAAGAGCATAAGAATGCAAGAGTTGAGTGTGTGCTTATGAAGAAGATCTAGCCCCCCCCCCCCATCTATATGCAGTTATATCACTATGAAAGGGGTTCAAAGAGAATTACGGATGCTCCCAGAGATAATGCAGACCTAATGTTAGATTATAGACAAATAGTAAGTATGCAGGATTCAAAATTTGCGGATATATTACAGCAGGGGTGCACAACTCAAATAAGGTTTCGTGCCAAATATTTCAAGATAATCTTGTCGCGTGCCACGCACAATCATTGGTATTGTAAATTAACTCCTGTAAAACACGCATTAAAGAAATTTCAATAACAATACTTAATAACGAATATCTATATATTGAAAAAATTTAATGCACTGAAAAACTGCTGATTTTAATGTATATCATAAATAATTTTTTGTTACAAAACCGTTCGTGTGCCACGTTTGAGAGTATGAAGTGCCAAATTTGGTACGCATGCCCTGTGTTGTGCACCCCTATCTTACAGAAAAGGTCTCCAAGTCACCCATCTATGTGTATCTTTATATCACAGAGAGTATCCCTGCTCTTAGAAACGCCTGCAGTCTTAATGTTATGTTAAAATATAGACAGAAGAGTATACATGAGTTGAAAATGTACGAATGTTTTACGTACGTTTGCCGTCGCATCGGGCTACGACTGCGATTTCTGTCGCTTTGTTGATGACCTCTATCAGCATGGGGATGACCTTGAGACTCAATCTTGTATTACGTGTGACTTGAACTTAACCAAGGGTTCAGTTCAAGGACTCCTACCCGAATCAGATCTATGAATTTAGTATTCAGGACCTCATTCTCAATTAAAATTGATATAATGATATTCGGAATGGAACATTTCTCACAAAGTTTAAAAAAAAATGCCAATTATAGTTTTTAGAAACAAAATAATTCATAATTTTATTAAAAAAGGCAAGTTTAAGAAAAAAACTACTCCATGACATTAAAATAGTAATAGTTTTTTTTTTGCCAATAGAACAAATTATGTTGGACTTCCCTATTCCCAAATATAACTGTTAGGCTCAAAGTTTTGAAATTACTGCCACATTTTGGGCTCATGTTTTAAACGTTTCATTCGAAAAATTGGCAACTTTTTTTCTGACTGTAATTGTATTTGATAGCTGAACAGTTTTTAAAAATGTGCCGTAATTACACGGCTCATTGAACAAGTTTAAAGATTTAGAATATGTGATATTATTTTAGAGAAAAACTGGAGATCATAATTAAATAGTTATAACTATGGGCCATAATTATAATTCTGCTATTTTTTAATGGTTTACTGGCTTTGCGCATTTATATTTACATTCCTATTTTTATATATATTTATTTGTGTTTTGAATATGGTTATAGAGAAATAAATGACTTGCCTTAAACTATATTTTACTTTTCATATTTTAAAATCAATTACCTCAATTAATAGGGTGAATTCCTAAGGGTTTGCGGGGCGATAGGGGTTATGTAACGTCATTTGAGGGGGAAAACCGGGGTACATGGGGGCTTGGTGAGTATAAAGCCCAGAGCGATATAAGGGCTGCTGGTACAGAGCAGCAGCTAAATGGTCAGGGGGGAACATAACTGGAGGGCGGGTGTAGGGAGAAGCCGCTGCTGCTAACCCTGGGAGTAAAAAGTCAGGTGGACGTGAAAGCTCGGTCATTCTTGAGTGCTGAGGCTGTAATTGTTCTTGCAGGTATCCAGATAATGGGTGGGGTACAGCCCCACTAGGGATATGTGGGGCAGTTGGGTGTGGGGGTAACTTTGAATGTCCCGGTAAGTGTGACATCGAGTGTCCACTTGGGAGTAATGACGAAGGCTGCACACTTGGAACATGAGATGAAGGATGACCATGGATAGATTGCGTTTGCCGTCGCATCGGGCTACGACTGCGATTTCTGTCGCTTTGTTGATGACCTCTATCACCATGGGGATGACCTTGAACTGGACTCCTCGAACGATGACTAGTTGGAGAACGCCCCCGCAAACTTGGAACTTCTCTGTATCGGTCCCTATCTTCTGTATGCGTCCGCTTCCTGTCCCAATGCTCGCTTTGAGAAGATTGTCCAAGACCTCCGAAAGCTGCATACTTGCTAGAAGAAGACTGATCTTTACTCCCACCTTGTGGGTGAGATTGAAACGCGGTACGCTGTGAAGAATTAGCACCACGAGCCACGAGATCCAATTTTTGAGAGGGATCACTACCTTGCCTCCTTTGGTGCTTGAGGATCTGCCAAGCCACAACTGCATGTGCAGCACACCAACGACCTTTATTCGGTCGACGAAACAGCGAACTTGTTGGGGCTTTAATTAAAGGTGGAGGGGCAAGCTGTTTTGGCTGGAACGCACCATGCAAATTAGAGGTAAAGGTACCAGGGTTAAGAAGAGGGTTAAATGGGGGCATTCCAAGATTTTGGTACCCTAAATTAGGACCGGCGGACGGGAGAGCCATCATAGGATCTACAAATGGGGCAGGTGCGTGTTGGCCGTATACAGATGGATTGAATAAATGGTGGTAGGGTGTGGGAAGGGCGTGTCCTGGACGGAAAGATGATGTTTGTTGATACTGTGGGGCTCTACTGGGGTAGGAAGGCGTGGATGGGTATTGTTGCTGTTCTGGGTAAGGCTGGGCAGTAATTGTATGTTGGTGGGTATGCTGGTGCGTGTGTTGGTGTTGATGTATCTCAGCACGCACTGTAGCTGGCTGAGGCGACTCACTCCCTTTCGCTGATGCCAAGAAACGACTGTTTAATTCCGCACGTAAATAGTTCTGTTGGTCATGAGCACCAATTGGGTTATAGAGTTGTAATGACTTTGACGGAGGGCTGCGCAGTTTCCCACTACTGCTATGAGTTGACTGTTGAGGAGTTGAGTTGTTACCAGGGTATATTCTGCCAGAATGAGGACTAAGTCTAGGGCGACCACGATCTGGTGTTTCTGTAACCGGCCTTCCATAGATTGCGCTTGGTATTTTACCAGTATGGGTAGGGTCACGGGATGGATAAGTGGTAGTCGAACCGGTGTGGCGATGTAGTGGGGCTTGCTGTTGGTGGTGCCGCACAGCATGCTTTACATCTTGAGGTATATGGCGTTGAGCTGGCTGCGTACTGCTAAGTGGCGGAGCTTGCACTAATGGTGGGGGTGGGCGAGATATTTCTACCCTTTGTGATGTAATAGGTAAATGTTTATTACTTGACCCAGGTAATGATGCAGCGAAAGTCTGGTTTTTCGGCTTCAAAAATATTTTCGGAGCCGGCCTGAATAAATCCATATCAGAATTCTCCAGATCAGGCCCTTCACTGACTTCTGATTCGCCAAGATAGCCATCCCCGGCACTTGATCGCGACGTAACGCTCTCGCGAGAACTGCTGCGCTTCGTATGTGCTCTAGCACCGTTAGTGGATTCATTACTTGAATTAGGAATCCTTGTATCTATGTTTGAGGAGGAAGAAGAGTTGACGCAAACGTTTGCAGTAGATGAGTTGAAAGCCAGCTGCATATCCTCCATGGTTGAAAAACTTCGAATACTGAAAAATTAAGGTGCAAAGTTAGAGACGAATGTAATTTTTTTTTGTACATAGTATTTGTTAAATGTATATTTATTGTACTTCTGGCAACTAGCATTTTCCCAGATGGCTGAGCATGATCTGTGATGTTATGACCAACCAGCTGTGAAGCTGAAGTGACCAAGTGCTCTCTGGAGTCGAGTGCCCAGTACAGTTAGTGTGGCTAATGGGTTGCTTTGATTATTGAAATGGACATTCATAAAATATACATTTGACCTGAAATAACAAATGCACTTCGGGGATGGCCAATACCGAATAATCAAGTTGTGTGAAGGGACTGAAACCTATGGGCAGAGGGCATCTTTCATTTAAATTTTTAAAAAGTCACTGTTTTAGGGTCGTTTTTAGGGGGTCTGCTTATTTGCAGTGAATTCTGACAGGCCGCCTAAAAATAGTTGTTCATAATTTCAGTTTTGTTATGAAATTAGTTGTCAGTATATCCAGTTTTTTTTTAATCAGTGTTTGTTTTTCGACACCAAGCATACATTCGAACAGGATTTGATGAACAATTCCCTCATAAATTTTTAATTTCCAATCATTTTAGATCAGTGTTTCCCAAAGTTGATTGACCGGTGGCCAAAATTAGAAGCTGAAGAATATCTGCGGGCCAGGAGAGGGGACCACTCGCAGGACGCTAATACCAATACCGGAACATATAATTAAGATATCGAATTGAGTTGTTGCGAATATACACATGCTTAAACTGTGATAGTGACGTAACAATTGGCAGTGTCTAGAACACAAAATAATATAAACATAAAGTGTTAGGCCAAGCCAAATTAAATCGTTAAGTGGGCCGTAATTAACCCGCGGGCCACGGTTTGGGAACCACTGTTTTAAATTGTTTCATCGGTCAGGTGGAGAGAAAATTTTGCTAAAATACACAACTTTATGTTCGATGTTTTCAAATAAATTGGGATTACAGAATAAGGATAGCGTAGAAATTAAAATTTGATACAAAAACAATGTGAGAAGAAATTTAAGTATTAAAGGTCAGAGAGAGATAAAATCATATTAAAGTGAATAATTTTGTGTTTGATGAACTTTTTTGAAATAGAATGACATATACTGGGTGTCCAAAACACTTCGCCAGATTTCATAGTAATAATAATTAAAAATTGCTTAGTGTGCATGTCGTTTTCATTTGTCATACAATAAAATTTATTTAAACTGACAATTGTTATCACTATAAAATTAGTCAAAATTTTTAGTGGTCCAGACTAACACCTGCAGCATCATTATCTGTGGCCTGCGTCACATTTGCTGAGTAATCAAAGATCTCATTTGGTGTTGTTTCGTTATAAAAATACCTCATCACTTGAGACATTGGCACATCACTAATGTCATTGAATCCCTTAGTGCACTGGTGGGCCATAAGGACTTTTCAAGTGGGCCGCAAGCCTATTAAAAATTACTATGATAATTGAAAAGTTTAGTTTTATTCGTGTCATTATAGTCAATTTTTTATTGCAACTTAGCAATGAATGATGCTGCTGCTTTTCATTCTAATTATTAAAGTAAAAGTACCCATTTTTGCAAAAAAATCATGATTTTCTTGTAGTTTTGCCCTTGCATGAGAAAGTTAGTGGGCCGCAGTATTATTATGCAACGAAAGTGGGCCACGAAAGAAAAAAGCTTGAGAACCCTTAGTGTAATGACTAGTCGAGGCAACCAGCGAAAATGAATAGTGTGCTTTGCTAGACAAAATTGTTAGCATAGCATAATTTCCCCGAGTTGTTATTATTAACTTGATTTCTACCTTACCGGTCACTAATATCCGTTAACAATATTTCAATAGCCTTCATAGAAAACTAAAAATAGAATGAGGAATCTATAATCCTAGGTTAGGTAGGTAGATGTTATGGCATAACAATATACTCCCTGTCTTTTTCAACCAGCCTGAACACCGTACAGCAACACAAAAAATGCTGCTTACATATGTGGGGAAATTGTATGTAGTAATTACCATCCTGTACCTCACAATCATCTAAATTCAGAAATCAATGCATTTGCAGTGATTTGTAAGGTATTTTTTGAACACGACCAAATCAACCAGATATTCGCACTAATCAAATTTGAGTGCTCCCGAAGTATGCGAACCAAGATGGCGGACATCGGAACGTAACATGGGTAACAGGTTAGGCGATAATTTTTTTCCAATTTTCCTTATTTTAGTCCTATTTTCAGTTCGAAGACTAGCCAAGAGCCTCCCGTGGTATTTATACCTAAAATTATGGCCTAACCCTTACCTAGTACACTACACATATTACATTCCGATGTCTGCCATCTTGGTTCGCATACTTCGGGAGCCCCCAAATTTGTTTGTACAAAAAAGATTTTCATTTTATGTTGAGCTGTACACCTATTCTTGCACTAGGTGTGGCTCGCAAACATTAGGTCAGGTTGTAGGTCAGGATGAGTTAGTTTTAACGGTAGGGGCTATTCAAGTAGCAGTTTTTGTTCAAACCATTTTGATTGTTTTGCAATTGGAAAAATCTATCCTTGGCTTAGCATGCAGAATCCGATAAAAATTCCATCACAAAAGGATAAAATTCAATTATTTCACATTGTTTAATTTTAGTTCTAAGCTTCTAACTACATTGAAGTAAGTTGGTATCTTACAATATTTAGCCATAGGCTGGTAGTGCGAATTCTATAAAAATTTCTTTACAAAACTAACTATACCAATATTGGTCCAAATTATGTTGAAATGAGACCATAAAAACTCAGTCTCAGACGAGCAAGAATTATATGAAATTGAAAAACAGAAAAATTTGTATCCAACCTGAATCCATCTATTATATCTTCATCAGCATCAATGATCTTGGTCTTAGGTTCCAATTTGGGAACAATTTGAGCAGGTTTTGTTTTAACTTTCCGTCTTTTACGTCTCAGTTTTCGACGCTTTCTAACTTTCCCATGTGCTTCTTGCTCATCAGAGGAAACTTGATGTAACCGCTTAGCTTTTGCTTCTCGTTTAGATCTAGCTGTTTTGCGCTTGAGCTTCAGTTTTTTAGCGTTCGGCTTCATGTTTGGTCCGGTCAAGTATATCCAGAAACAGTGAATGTAACTAAACTACTTAAATGAAATATTGTTAGCCATATTTCTGAAAAAACATAACAAGCTTAGACCGTAGTTAAGCATAAATCACAATTCATTTACTTGAACAATAATTTACCCACTGTATGAAAAGAAAGTATATGGTGAATAACAAATACCAATGAATATATACACAAAGAAAAGCAAAACGGTACTAATAACACACTGTGTAACAAAAAAACTTATTTTGTTCCCAGCTTTTGTGAAAAAAATGTGTGTTACACTGGTGCACTAAGGTTACTTTCGCCCAAAACACTACAGCACTAGTCCGCTATGATATGATACTTCAAGGGTTGGTATTTGATATGATTTGAATTTTTTCGATTGATCAACAAGAACAACACTAGGTTTTGTAACACAATCGGCACATTTTTATCCTTAGGGAAATTTGCTCAAACCAATACTTTGAATAGACAGAAAGATTTACAAATAAAACTCTGAAAAGACCAGGAATGTGTAAGACACCAAGGCAGTGGCAAAGGTCAATAAAAAATCGGAAAGAAGTGACTGGAAGCATCTAGCGTCCATAAACAGTTCAAACCCATAAAATAATAATATATGTAATAATTATTTCATCATGATGTGATAAAGTGAGAAAATGAACATTATTTATTCATAAAAAATAAAATTCCATAAGCAAAGGATGTCACAGAAAACATTGACAGTTATCGAGGTGCGGCATGTTGCTAGTCTTGAATGAAACTGTGAACTATTGAAAGTGTAGAGAATAAAAAAAGCAGATGGCAATTTTTAATAAGTTAGTGGAATAATAAAATGTTAAAAATAAGCAGATATTTTAAAAACCGTTGTACCGGTATCGATTTGGCTTCAGATTTAGAGATGTGGTCATTCATAGATATAGTTTATTCGAATACTCCATAATATACACAAATTTAAAATGGAGAATTCTGGAGGGCGAGCAAAACCTTTAAAAAAGTTTAAAACATGAGAGATATCATTTGCCCGCCCACCAGCACACACACACACACACACAAATATATTACAAAAAACACAAACATAGTTAAACAAGGCTTGGGCAAGAAATAATCAAACGAAAGATACTCGAATGTATTGAACTTCTGGGCTGTTATACTTTCTGACTTTTGAAACACCTTAGCTATTGCAGTAATAATGCCCAATTCAATATGCACAGAATATGCCAGCAATACCGTACGCGCTGTTAATTTAATGTTTATTTTGTGATATTGCGATAAACCAAAAATCTTCGGCGGCAAATGTAAACTTTATAAGTATAATAAGTTTATTTCGACTCCATAATCAGCAAAACAATAAAATGAATGGTAAAAATAAATAAATAAAAACTGATTATGAAATCAGGAGAGCAAACAAAACCTTAGATAAGGTTTAAAACGTACAGAATGTATACCGGTATAAGATGGAAGGTTTTGCCAAGAAGATGTGGTACGTGTTCACTCATTGATCATAACATCGGTTTTGTGGATTTTCACCCTTCAGAATTTCAACATGCCTTGATTTTACTTTTAATATACGGTATTCAGAGGTATCGTACCCTACCTATTTAGTCTACGGTACGGTACCGGTACTTGACTACCAGTACGGTACCGGTATAACTGAAGCTACCGGTATTATGTTACCGTACGATATGAATTATAACAACCGGTATAAAGCACTTCAAAACACAAATTAACCACAACTCTATAACTACCAGGAAATTAAGCCACAAAACAAACCAAGAAAAATCCTAAAACAGACTAGTTAAGAGAAACGACCCGTAAATTAGCCCTCGTTTGTTCGCCGCCTTGAGGAAATGCCAATGATTCATTTGCAAAACACTCAGTGGTCATACTAAATTGCGGAAATTTAACGACTGGAAACATTTAAAATAAATCAAAAAATTTTAATATTTACTGATTTAAGAGAATTATGTTCAATCCAGCGATAAAATAACTATTTTAGCACAAAGAAATATAAATTACATATGGCATCATGTAATTTCAATTAATCTTGATCCATGCGTCACAAACGAAAGGAAAAAGGGATGCATTTTGATGTCATAATAGAATAAATCCAAGCAAGTGGCCATATCCGTTTCGAATTGAACAAAACGTTACTCGCATGACAGTGTAATGGTATTTTTAAGGAGTTTACGATAATTATTTGTAATCTTAGTCGAGTCAGATGAAGTACTGTGGCGGCTAGCCTGGTATGCGTCGTTAAGAATAAAAGCAGAGAATACTTTTCTCCCTGTCAATGGTATCAGTTCAAGCCGGGCACTGTATTACTATTAGTTGAGCAGACTCCGGTATTTCTTTCGGAAATGCGTCAGCGCTTACCAGAAACTTTCTGTCAGAGCTAGGAGTTCTTTCTTCCACGAAATTGGATTCTGCGAATCCGCGTAGAGTAATCAGAATTGTGATGATGAGACCGTTCGACGATTAACACTTGTGCGACCGTGGACTGATACGTATCTCGGCCAATAAGAAAATAGTGGCATAAGGACACAATTTACATATTTATCCCCGTGGAAAAGAAAGTCGGCAAGACGGTTCAATCACAGGGCAGGAGTTTCCAACACGCGGCCCGCAAAAAAACTGAGCGTCGTGGCTGAGATTTTTCAAGAAAAAAAGCACAGAATATTATATGAGAAGTGAGAAGATTTGTATTTTGTGTGAAATTACAATAACAAGGTTGAGTGTCTCATATGTTCTGCAATTATTGCTGTTCGAAAATAATACAACACCCAACGACATTACGGCTCATTACACCAGTACACAGGGAAAATACCATGTCTATACTGAAACAATTCGTCACAAAAAGTTGTCGCAATTAAAATTTCAGATTCAGATGAAACAGAGAATATTTTTTCCAGACGTAAATAAAACTTGTGAAGATTCGGTGAAAGCAAGTGCCCAGTGGCGTAGCAAGACTCTCGTGAGCCCCCCCCCCCCGCAAAAATATTTCGTGGTAATGACCCCAAAAACTCTCGGACATAAGCTAAAACAACGCTTTTTTTATTTCGTCAAAAAGCATAAAATGTCGCTATAAAAAGGCAATGGTAACCTAAAATTTGCCGTTTATCCTAGTTACTATAATTTTTCTATACGTTTTTCCGCTTCTGCCCCTTTTTCTGCGTTTCTGTGCGCCACTGAGAGGTTTTGCTTTTGACATCATTCTGACAGCCTTCGTACTTTTGCCGGTGCGATCAAACCACAAGACGCCGAAAATCGACGACTCCTTGGCATTGTTACGCAACAAAACGATTTGAGCAGAACTAACATCAACGTTATAAGATGTGCATTACTGGTTTTGCAATGCAGCTTTTGGTTTTGCGGCTTAAATTTCTAAATTCTAACCGCTTGGTCCCCTTTGCGCTGTGGGCCCTCCCGCGACCGTGGGGGTTGCAGGGGTGGATGCTACGCCACTGCAAGTGCCCTTTTGTTGAAGAAAACTTTATTAAAGAGTGTATGTTGAAGGCTTGTGAGTAATTAGCTGCAATTCGTTTTAACAATGAAAGTTAACAACAGCCTTTCGCATACGACTAACGGACTAGAGTTTGTATGCTGTCTTAAGACTAGCAAACCAACGCAAAATAAAGCCAAACATCGAATCTTTCACCGCTACAAAACGGTGTCAAATATCCAGCACAAGTAAATGAATATGTTTCATGTCTCGATTAGTGGAAGATCCAAGTGTAATTTCAACGAATATATTCAGATTTCCTTCATTAATTTTTGCGATGGTGAGCGTATTCATAACAGTGCACTTCACCGCCTTACTTTTAATTTTTGTTAGTAAGACTAGGTCAGATTTCATGAATGCCACCGCATAATAAAAGTTGTTTATTCAAGCATAGTATAAGTAAGGTAAAATGCAGTCGTTGGCCAGCAAGACTAATTGGATACTACGAACCCAATGTAATATCAACATTCTAATAAACGAAACAGCTAGCCGACGAGAGTCATAATCTGTTGGAAAGTACGAGAAAATATAAAGATCACAAGAAGCCGTTGGAGGTTAGATTATTTAGTTAAATAGTTGGTTCCTTTAGTTCTTGGTATTATGTCGGTACATCGTTTTGCAACGAGTGGGGAATTTTGTTATTTTGGGTGAGGAGATTCGGTTAATATTACTTTGTATTCACGGTGGTTTCACTAAGACCCTAAGTGTGAGCTACGCGTAACACCAGCTAAGCATCGTTTATGAATTGAACAAATATTGAAAACGGAATTTTTATGCATAACCAGGGAGAAATTAAGATCCGAAATAAGCAATGGGAATTTATTCAAAAAGGCTGGAAACCACTATATCAGTAGCTACTTTTTTAGTAACTACTGTATTCCCCCGAAAATAAGACCTACCCTAAATTTTAAATATTCGAATATAAGCCCTCCGCTCAAAATTAGACCTATTCGATAGTGCAACACTTATTTTTTACATAGTCGACAGGAACACGTTTCTCCTACAAAAGATTGGTCATTTTTGAATGATCTATGTTTAGCACTTTTTTTTTTCTAAATAAAACCGTGTTATTTATAAGTAAAAAGATATCGGTTTCACTTTTTGTATATTTGAAAAACTCTACCTTGTAATTTTGTTTTGATGAAGGAAAATAAATGACATACACCAAAATGAGCCCTAGTGTTACTTTTCGAAGGAAAATTGAAATAAGATCTTTTTTGTTATTTTCGGCGAAACACGGTAGTCGGTAGTAAACCAATTTTACTTTTGGCTTGTTTTTTATGGCATTAGACATATTTATTACGCACTGAACTGTGAGCATTGACACTGAAAAGCGTTATAAACGCTGATTTTTCGTGAGTTGTGTTAGTTTAACTTCATATTCGCCTTCTGAATACGTTACGGCGAATTGACAGAAAACTCAACTCCGCATATCTGGAAAACTAATTTTACTCTGCTCCTGAAATTAAAATAGGTAGCCACGTTATCGATCCAGGTTCTGGCGAACTTACGTATTCGTTTACATATCTTTACCGACTCTGAATATTCACTTTACGATACGGGCG